AGAGACACCAGAGAGAACAATAGGTAAGTCGCACCTAAGCTAAACTCTGTTGCTGGATTCTATGTCATATTGGAGGTCGCCACGATCGGTTGATCTTAAATACGGCAGCAGTGCTTTACGGGTATTGAATCCCAAGGTTTCAGAGGTGTGTTCATTAAGGTCTGTGTTTAAAGTCTAAAGGGAAAAACTAACAGGGTAAAAGTTGAAATGATGTGCGAAAACTGATGAATGGAGGTAGTATAGAAAGAAGGGAGTTTGTCGGTACCTCGTGGTGGTGTGTGGGTCACACCTTTTAACAACACTCACTGGGATCAATTGTTGGGGCCAAGTTGTTAGAAAACAGTGTAATCTATAATGTCAATTCCTAATTCAAATGACTCTTTATTTGTCTGTACTGCTTACACATTTCCTCTTCTCTGCTAAAGTAGCAAATCATATGACATGGTTAAGATTCCTTCTACTCATAGAGGACAGATTTCATTCAATAACATGTTAACTTTTGAAGACTAAAACACAACGGTGATACTCTATCAGTCCAGCCAAAAAAAAAACAGTCAATGTAATACTGCACAATCACAGTCATACATTTGAAACTTGAAGGACCAACACTTCCCATCCTTAGCAAAGGAGGCGGTTGCCTGCAGCACCTCTGCCTTCCTCTTTAAGAGGACATTCTCCCTTTTCAGGGTCTCCACCTTCTGTTCGGCAGCCCGCCGGAGCCTCAGCTGCCGCCCCAGCAGTTGGAAGCAGCGCCACAAGATCTGTAGCCCTCGGGCGTACAGAGCCTGGCGAGTCACCGCTCCATCCAAGATGGAATACTGCAAATAAAAAACAACAAATGTACACATAAATCAGAAAACTATTAACAATCATTTAGACCAGTGATTCTTGAGACATGGGGCTGCACCCCCCTAAGGGAACCCCCGTGCCACTCCTGAAATTGAAGATTTTTTTTTTTTTAAATATGTTTTTTTTTTAAATATATAAAGCGCAAAATCACAACTGAAGTACAGCCAGCAAGCACAGCCAGCTACATGAGTGATACTGACGGCCTGTCAGGAGAGAGAGAGAGAGGAAGAGAGATGCTCCCTTTATTATTCTTATATTATAGAGTCGTTATCACATCTTTTTAAAGCTCATTATTACATGGCTTAGTTGAATTCTCGATTCTGATTGGTCAATTCAGAACACGTGACACGTTCTTAATCCAGAACAGACAGACCGCTGTCAAGGATTTATTGACCGTTGTTAAGGACGCTCACATCTGCACAAAGAAGTCCGGTCGATTGAACTGTATACAGTTTGGCTGAAAAGCAAACTGCATGTAGTTTGCTTTTCGAACTGACAAGACAAGAGCGACAAGAAAACAGCGGAGAAGTAACGGGCAGAAACCTTCCTTTTTACGCAGCGGTCCAAACATAGACATCAAGCGGCAAAACATATTCAGTTGCCAGTTACTTTGGCATTAGGGCAGGGATATCTAGATACTTTCCAAGGTTTGACATTATGAATTGTGCTACTTTTAAACCAAGCAACGATGTTTTCAAATCTGTAATCAAAAAGCTCCGCCTTCCTGCCGTTGCTGCGTATTTCAAACGGTAACAACGGACTATTTTTCTTAGCGGATTTATGTCAATACATACAACTATTTTTTAAATCAATAAAAACATTTTCTAAATTCATAACAGCATTTCAATTAATATTGGGAGTCATATCGTTACTTGAGAGTGTGGCCATGTAATAAGCGGGATAATGTTGTTAGGGTTGAGTGAAGCAGGCAGGACCCAAATGCAGATAACAAAGAAAATACCTTTATTAAGGTTTTAGCGGTGACAAAAAGAACACTAACCCGTGAACACAGTCACAGACAAACAAGGATCTAACAAAGACAGACAGAAAAACCAGAACTTAAATACACACAAAACTAATCACACAACAAGACACAGGTGAGGAGGGAGGAGAAAACACAGGGGCACAAGGTGAACACAATCAGGAAATCAGACACACCAGGGAAACTAACGACGGGAAGGCAAACACAGGGGGTGTTTCTCAATCGCGAGTAAAGCTGCTTCCGAGCCACTATTTCAAGCATACTACGTCATCGAGTGCCGCCGAAGTACTGTTCCAATCTCCAGTATACTTGGAAATCTACCGAGCCCGGCGTACTCCGTTTGGAGAAATATCGAGTGTGCACATGAGTAGACTTCGCGGCCTTAAAATCCCCACAATGCTTTGCTCACGGACCAATTTCCAAAATCTGTGGCGGAAATGGCTGAAGTGAAGCAGTACACATTTAAATGTAAGTATGTAAAGTGGGGTACAAAATGTGTTGGTAAATACGTTACTTTGATAAATTTGTTATCACCAAAAATGTGTTCTGTGAAAGTAAAGCTAGTTAATAATTAGATAGGTACATCGTGAGGTATTTATTTTCGGTACAGTTTATGTTGAAACCGTTAGAGAGAGTGGGACAATTGTTTGTTGCCGGACTGCAGTTAAGCTCAGTTTCTGTAATAAACTGGCAACAGAGTTTTTGGCCTGGTATTCATTAATTACACACGGCATTATACTGTTGTTTCTGGTGTTTGCTCAAGGGACTAAGGAACAGACGGAGGCCTTTATACGCCTCCGTGTTGAGCTCCAGCACCTGTTCACGGGCGGTCGGGACACGGCCGCCAGTGGTTATCGGTGAGAAGCAAGTGACATTGTTTAGGTAGTAAATATTGTTCAAGATGTAATTTAATCGCTGCTTTCTCCTTCTTATAATTTACATAGGACAATTGTGGCAAACATGGGGATTGAGGGAAGGGTAACCCACGTCCAAGCCAAAAAAAAGTGGGACAACCTCAAAATGAAGTACACCTGCCCGCTGCAACTCTTACTACTTTTAAATCCAGGCTGAAGACTTTTCTTTTTGCCGCTGCTTTTAATTGAACTATTCACATCTTAAACTGCACTGTAACTTTTAACTTTTATCCATGTATTTTTTCTTTTAATGTTTATTTTATTATCTTTTCTTTTTAATGACTGATTTTAAATGCCATTTTCATAATGTCTTCCATTTTTGTAAAGCACTTTGAATTGCCTTGTGTTGAAAGGTGCTATATAAATAAACTTGCCTTGCCTTGCCTTGCCTTACAAGGTGTGAGAGGTTATAGACATGATCATGTTTGTTTTTGCTGTTGTTTTATATGTTCAAATGTATTCATGTGGAACCTACTGGCAGCAGGTCATCCTTGAAAAAGAGATCAATGATCTCAATGGGATTCACCTGTAATAAAGGTTTGAAATTAAAATGTATTATGTTTTCATATATTAATGCGTGTATGTGTTTGGTCTTCACTGCTCAGGAATAGAGTGGCGAAGTCCCTCCCACTTACTTCCGGGGTATGGGACCTTATTCCGGAAAAGTTATGCATTGAAGTCAATGGGGAGAGAAAACTTATCTTTCGATCCCGTTTGAATTGTGCCATGAATTACACATATGATGTTTGTCAATCTTAAAAAATCATTTCCATGTCAAAAAAGTCACAGTTTGTCATAAAACTGTTGAAATATAAGACTATGAAAAATACGTAACTAGAAAGACTACAAATCCCAGAGTCGCGTAAGTGATGTCACAATTGTTTACCTCCACCATTCAGATACCTAAGATCAGCGCAATATAGATATAATCTATCTATATGGCGCTGGCTAAGATAAGATAACTTTAACAAGATGCCTGTGTGCTTAGTACCAGGTTGTTATTATACCAGCAATGGGTCTTGCTCGTTCTTTTGCTTCCCGTCTGATGAAACGACCAGGAGTGGCTTGATCAAGTTAGCTACCTAGCTAGTAGCTAGCACGTTAGTTAGCATTACAGCCTTGTCATTTTTATTAGCCTTAACATGAAGTAACATTAAGTAACCCAAAATGTTAAACAGTAAGAGTAGTAGTCATATTTCGTGAACCCTTTGAATAGTACTGTCACCAGTGTGATCATTCTATAATACACCATTTAATTCCGGGGGAGAAATGCTAACGCTAACGTTAGCATCGGCGATCTTTTCTACTTCATGCTATCTGCACAAATGGTTGACATTAAACATTAAAACGACCAGGCAGTTCAGAGAGAATCAAAGGAAGGCAGGCTTTGCATGACATTCTTCAGGACGTGTTTCATTGTGGTGATAGTCAATCGTTTGTTGACAAGACAGTAGTGACGGCCATCTTGGTGACGTGTGTGGTTGACCAGAGATGTAGTTCATTGAGCCTTTCACACAAACAAATGTGTTACTTCACAGTTTTACGACACATTTTAATTTTTTTGACTTGCAAAATTATCTTTTAAATTGACAAACATCATATGTGTAATTCGTGGCACAATTCAAACGGGATCGAAAGATAATCTTTCTCTCTCCATTGACTTCAATGCATAACTTTTCCGAAATAAGGTCCCATGGGGCTCAACCGGAAGGGGAGGGACTTCGCCACTCTATGCAAGTGTCCCGCCTCAGGGCAGGGCACCGAGGACGGGAAACCCACGGCAGCGACTTGGGCCTGGTTTGTCCTAATGGATGAGGCATTAGGGCAGTCTGCGGCGGTCTCGCCCCCCTGCCTGATTTCCTCCATCCAAGACGCAAATCCGGGGCCAAGCACTGCCCAGGTAGGTCAGAAAGGGCGAGAGGATGAGGAGGGAAAAGACAAGGGCGACACGGAGAGGAGAGGAGGAAGGAAAAAGAGGGAGAGAGAGGATCCCTACCTTGATCTCTTAAGGGAGGACATCCTCTACCAGAGAGAGGCAGATGAGAAGAGAGCAGCAGAGGCCCGAGAAAGGTCCGAAAAGTTTTTGGCTGTCTTGGAGCGTTTTGCCCCCAAATAAAAAATATGACTGAATGAAAAAGAACCTTGTTTTGACTTTGCCTCTTGTTGATATTTGTGTTTTATGCTACAATGTCCACCAATATGTGTAAAAAAAGGTTTGCAGACATCAAGTATGATATATGAATACACATTTTATTATTCTGAATCATAAAGGGCTTTATTGGCAGGTATACTCACAAGTACAAGGAATTTGACTTGATGTCATGGCGCATACATTAAATATAAAACACAAGTACACAGATAGCGAACTATATTAACAACACTGTAAACAAATATAGATAGATAGCAATAAAATAAAGTCAAGCAGTCATTTACAGCTTAATAGAATGCAGTGAATTATAGAATATAACATATGAAATATGTCCAGTAAGCAATATTTGAACATTGTGTGCATTAATGTAATGCATAGAGTCTGAGGTAAAGTATCAGTGGGGGGGCCAGGCCTTATTTAAGAGGCCGGTAGCGGAGGTGAAGAAACTGTTCAGGTGGAGAGAGGTTCTGGTCCTGATGGAGCGCAGCCTCCTGCCAGAGGGTCCATCTCCCACATGTAGGCAGAATTGGTGATTTTATGATGTTTTGGCTGTTTATCCGCCAGGACTTTTTCAAGGCTGCAAACAGAAGGAGAAAGTGTTATGTTAGTTTAGTGGTTCTGTCCTGGAGAGATGATCATTTTACAAAATACAGTTACTGCAGTATAAGCAGATTGTGACATGGGCTTTGAGCCATGATGTTCACCTGTGCACAATAGTCATGGTCCTGTGGAGCACCAGCAAGTGCGGACACCTCGTTGGCAAGGGCCACACGCCATGCTGCTCCACTCTCACTTTCCCCACATGCACCTTCATCCGCAGCAGGTGGCTGGTTGTCCTCCAGAGCGGCGGCGTCTGGAGGTAGGTCGTCTCCAACCCCGACACAGATGTTGTGTAAGATTACACATGCCGTTACAACCTGTGCACAAGGCAGAGCAAAAAAATGACAAAACAAAGTGTGATGCATATTGTATGTGACTATGCAATTGTTAGGCATTAAGACAGTGTTAATATAGCAGAATAAGGATATTAGGATTGTAATGAACTAATTTGCTACAGAAACATTAGAATGATTCATTACCTTGGGGACAAACTTATGATGTACTTCAAGTGTTTCTAAAAAGATGCACCTGAAGCGGGTTTTCATCACCCCAAAGGCCCGCTCAATGATTGCGCGACCCCTGGAGTGATGGCAATTAAACCGTTGTTCTGCCATGCCTCTCACTGGCCTCTTATATGGTGTGATAAGGGCCAGGGGTTCCTGTAGACATGGGTAGCCACCATCAGCTAGGATGAAATACCCTGGTGGAGGGTAAGTCCCCCTAGCGTAGATGGGGCTGTTCTTCAGAATCCGTGCATCATGCACGGATTTCATGCTGTCTGGAAAAATACCTGTCTGAAATTAAAGATTAAAGATGTAGGTTAGCGGTTTAATTATACAGTCAATAGTCGTTTTCACTATTGTCATGTCGATCCCATCACTATCAGTCGAAGTCTTATTTTTGCATTTGTCTACAATGGATCTAATTTCAATTTCGTTTATCTCTCCCAGAAACATTGACTGCAACACTTTACTTCCCCCAATTCCGCCATCCTCTCTTTGCCCGTTGTTTTGGAATAGTCTTTGCAAGATTAGGTCCGACATTTACAAAAAAATAGTTAAATTCATGTACCACTTCAATCATGTTTTTTACAACCTTATTTTTGTCATCAATGAAGTGACTGGGCAGGCCAGTGGATACAGATTTATTTCCAATAACATTATTTAAGATTTTCCATGTGCCCTTGATATCATTTTTCTTTTCTTTTAACATATTATTATAATATTCTCTTTTTGCTTGTCTCATTATAACTGTCAACTTATTTGTATATATACGCTTCCGGTATTCGGAAGATTCGGATGCAAGTTTTCAGCGCTTGTCCGTGCATCCATATGCTCGTTACTTTAAAACGTTTTGATGTGATTTAGGTGCTTTTTCTATACAGTAGTATTTGCCATGATGTGTCTTTAGACTTTCTCGACGATGTTCGTCGCATGAATAAGCGGCAGCATTAGGGCAATATCTGTGAATTACTCTCACATCCTACACACTACTGAAACCACAATCAGGTCATCTACGATCTGCGGAGGCCTGCTCCCACCTGTAGAGTACGGCTGTACTTAGGAGGATTTTATCCCGGAGCCATCGCGGTGAGACTGAGTGGCTCCACGCTTCGGGCTGGGGCCAGCTTCCACCGGGCATGTGCTGCTGTGCGGAGGAGGATTTGCCACGGCTGGGGCCTGCTTTCCACCTGTCCTGGTTCTGCTGTTGCGGAGGCCTGCTCCCACCTGTCGTGTGCTGCTTTGCTGAGGAGACCTTTTACCCCGGGGATACCACGGAGAGACCGGAGCGCTTCCTCGCTGCTGCTTTCGCCTGTCCTTTCCTGCTGTGAGGAGGATTTTTGCCCCAGGAACATCGCGGATACTGTGTGCTGGTCTGGGAAAATGGCCCATATCGTGATTCTGCTGTGCCTATTAACTGTTCTGGACTATGAGAAGATCTCTAGTCATCCTGAGAAGTCTACTGGATTCAGGTCTGTTCTGCCACCCGCAGTAGGCATCCCCTGCAAAGGGTCGGATGTGTTACACAAACAGTTACCGGTTACCAGTAGCTGTCTTTTCCTCTCCTCTTTCCCTCCTCCATTTCCCCTCACCTCCTTCCTCCTACCTCACCCCCTCCTGCCTTCCCCTTTTCATACTCAGGGTTTTCTCCTGGAGCTCAGATTTTCCCACAATCTGTATAATGGAGGTAAAACAACTCACTATTAAGTCCCTCCCCCATTAACTGTACTTACTTCCTGCTACCTCACCCTCTTTCACCTTCCTCCATACTTTACCTACTTCCTCCATACTTTCCCCTCACTTCACCCCAAACTCTATCCTCCATTTCCCTCACCTCTTTCTTCCTACATCACCCCCTCTTCCCATTTTCATATTTAGTGTTTTTTAGTTGTATTTAGACTTGATTTTAAAATTAAAATGTTAATTAAATGTATGATGTGTATGCCTCACTGTGTAAACGTATACAGTATATATTAATTACTGTATGACATGTTGGTTACTAAAGTACCGGTATCTGTTCTATTTGTGATTTAAACAACTTTGAATTTAATAAATACAACAACAACAGAAGATGTTTGTGCAGATTGTTCTTTTATTTTGGGGTTCAATTACATTGTTGTGTTTTTGTTGTTTTTAAAAAATGTGTTGATTTCATATGAGCTGTTAAAGTGTTCAAAGCTCAGGGTTTACATTTAAACGTTATTTAAAGGTCCCCTATTATACTGTTTTTCATGTCTCAGATATATACAGAGCCTGTCTCTGATTGGCTGAAACACCAAACGGATCATTGCAGCATCCCATAATCCCCTCTGTTTCAGCCCTGTTTAAAAAGTGCTGATTTCTTTAGATGAAAATAAGGAGCCCCTCCCCACGCCCCTCTGAGAGAGATTTGGTTAAAAAGAACACAGCTGACAACCAGACTATTTAGCTCATCTTATTATATTTACTTGTATTTAGTGAACTACTCCTGCATTATTTGCACATTGGTCTATTCTATTGTTATTGTTTTATGCCTTATCTCTATTTATGTTGCATTGTTGGTGGAGCCTGGGAATGCCTCCATGAAAAATGAAGAATCCAACAAAAACTGAAAATTCTTGAATGATTTAAAAAAAAACTCAACAAACTTGGAGTACAATCCAACTCTCATTTATCCAGTCGTATGCTCGTATATATTTCTCAAACACGCCTGCAAAAATGTCAGAACTGTTCATGCAGAACGGTCTAAAGCTGGCTACACACCAACCCGATTTTGGGAGTCAGAGGCCATCAGAGGCAGTCGGGCATTCGCGGCGCCCTACTCAGGTTGGTGTGTCCCGCACCGTTGTCTCTTTACGGCACCTTTTCACACCTGAATCGGCCGCGGGAGGTCAGAGAAAGTCGGCCCAAGCAATCACTCTGATTGGCTGTTCACACTACCGCTGCCTGCTGGTAAGGACAGTTATTGCCACTCGTCGACTGAAGTATTTGCGGTGTGTTCGTAGGCGGGCGGCGTAGCGGGCGGTGTAGCCGACGCAGGCGATGTAGCTGACGTAAAAGTCGGGACGCCTTCGGTACGCGTTCTTTGGTCTCAGGTGGGTGTGTAGCGGCCTTAAAACAGTGAGGAGAAATTGCACGTGTTTGTGAAGTAGTTACAGGATAAATTAAATTGTGCAAGAGTTTGTAAACTGATGTTTATATAGTTTTAGTGTTGTGACATACTGCCGTAATTCACCCACAGGAAATACGTCGAGAATTTTCTCAGTTTTTTGGATTCTACCTTCACCGAGAAAAACTCATTTGTATTTCAGAAATGAAGGAAACTGGGGGTAAAGCAGGGTGTCCAAACTACTGCCAGGGGGCCAAATGCGGCCCTCAGCAAATAAAAAAAGTATAAAGAAATATGGCCAACAAATGGGCTGTTTCTTTCTTAAAAGCATTTTCGAGTATCAAGAATAATTTACCTACATTTAATAGATTTTTCCAATTTATAACTGAACCTATGAGGCGATATACCTCTCCTCTAGCGAGTGGCCCAGCCCTTCGTATATTCTTCTGTATGTGGCCCTCGGTGAAAAAGCTTTGGACACCCCTGGGGTAAAGGATGTGTGTGGTAATGTCATTCTTTACCTCGGACACGTCCAGGTGTTTGATGTTCCAGCTCGGGGAGGGTCCAGAGTTGTCATGCCAGATGTGCACCCCCCACACAGGGCCCAGGCTGTCGGCTGCACTGTGGGGTCAGAGACAGACCGCCTTCATCAATGAGCAAAAACAATTCAAAGCAGCTCAATAATGATGTGAGATTGATGTAAAACGCATCTGTGGATTGACTTCATGTGGAGTTCCAATTACTTGTATATAGACTCTTATTGGACTATTTACTATTTTACTTTTTGTATTTACTTGCACTATTTTTTCTGTGTATCTGTTTTATTGTGTTGCACTGTTGGAGGAGCCTGTGACCTAAGGGGGGGGGGGGGGGGGGGGGTGTAAGGACACGTTCGATTCCTGTTTTGAACAGTGTGCCGTCGATGGGATTCATTCCATATCAAAGTGCTGTTTGACGCTCCGTGTAAACTTCACGCACTGCCACTCCAACAACCAATCACAGAGCTTGAGGACTAATCACGGGGTTTGTCGAGCGAAGCACATGGTGTAGTCCCAAACGATAGCTGAGGATTCTGGGTAGTGTAGTGTCTTCTGCCATCCTAAACTCCGAAAAAATATTTGTTTCTCCGAATCGAAGGGGGAAAATACAAAAGCATTGTACACAATTTAAACCAATCAATGTTGTGTAATTAACAAGGATAATTTGGTGTTTTTGAGTTGATGAGTAGTGCAGATATCACTGTAATCGACAGTAAAGAGAATACTTACTTCCGGGTGTAAAATCTTCCGTTATCCAATGGGAATGGACGCTCACATTGCCTTTAAGTGCTGCCGACATGGACCGATGCGGTGCTTCCCTGAGCGTCAAATACCGCCGCCGATGGGAATACATTGCAATCAGTTGAAAGCTCTTTGCGTCCGTTTATGAAGCAGAAGGAGACTCGGCGCGTCACAACTGGACGCCATGGACCCTGACCAAGCGTCGCTCCTGGACGTTCAGGGAGTGAGACTGTGTTGCACCCAACCCGGTATCACGGCAAGACGTGAACATGTGACGATCTACCATGCTGGGAGACGTGAATATGTCACGGTTTCGTCCCTTCAAACGTGATAGTTACACGGTATTGTTAACATGGCCCAACCAGTGGAGAAATACCCAGAAGTGCCAAGCAAATGGTCTACCGCGCCTATTGGTCGGTTTTTATTGTCAAAATGAGATGTTTTTAATTTATTTTTTAATCGTCACATTTGATTTCGCCGATTTTCTTGTTGCCCTAGCTGGTCGACACCTCTTTTAGCAGAAACAAAGGCTACATTAATGTATTAAATCGATGTTAACATGAAATTGAGATAAAAAACAAGTACAACAGATATGATTACAGAATGGTGAACACATTGTCTTCTTCAGTGATTATTTGATTATTAAGAATTATAATTTGGAGTCTCAATTTCTCCTTCTCCAGCTCATTTTTCTCGTGTTCCGCTCTCAATTTTACGGTCTCCACCTCCACACGAACGATTTCTTTCTCCGTCAGTTCCCGCTGTAGCTCTGACAAATCCCTCTTTCTCTTTCGGGGTGTGGCCATTTGGGATTCCTCTTGAGTCATCGCTGATGCTGTGGGTGTGGGAATTCCCTCTTCTCTGCGGTCCAAAATTATATAGACGTGTGTTGCTTGGCAACAATTACTGTTTCGCATGTATTCACGTGTATTCACGTGGACGCGCATCTTAAGACCAGGCGCAGCTACGACCGAGACTAGTCAGGTTTGGTGCACTCGGTGTAAATTCTAATCACTAAGTCGGACGTAGCTAAGCCTGACGTTAGAGTTAAGACCTACTTTTTTACGCCCAGCTGGTGCACTCCACTCCTGATGTCAATATGTTGTGTTTATATAATGTTAGATAACTAGCATTTGGAAACTAACATCCATGGTATTCCCTTAAACTTATATACTCTCAAATAAAAAAGTAAAGAAAGTTCACATTTTCACATGCTACTTCCATATATCTAGTAAGACACCAATGACTTGCTTGTCAAAATGCTTTTAAAAACAGATATAGGTAAATGTGATGCATGAACTAAAATACATGCATGCATTGACAGGTTGCACGAACATTAAGGTGAATGATCTCTTTGTTTAAACTAGTGACTCAGGTAACAGTATTTGCAGAAACATGCTGGTCACATACAGTTGTTAATCTTAACAGAACAGAAAATACAGACCTTGTAGATCTTGTTGTCTTGTAATACTTGCAGATTTTCAGCCACATCTCCATCACTTATTGATCTGGCTCTACCCTGCCAGGCTCCTCGTGGACCAACACCTCCACCACCATCTCAGTCTGTGGGGTCTGAGTTTTATCATTGATTTCTGTCCATGGGTCACTTTGCTTCTCCAGAACATCTTCTGTCCAAACCCTGATGAGCGTCTCTGGGCGGGACGTGTAGTTCTGTGTCTTTAAATAAGTCTGGAGCTCTTGGTCTTTTGGGTTTTCTCCGGCTCTTGTTCCTGGTTGTTGTGAATTATCCAATCCCACAACAACGTCAGAGAAGGGACAGCCTCCCCTTTGGTTTCTCTGCTGCAGAAACGGCATGTCCTCCAGTTCAAGCTCGGACCTGGTGATGCAGGATCAGGTGAAAATAAACCTGTCAATGG